TGAGGAAAAGAGTTCTCTTTGATGAGAAGAGGGACTCGAGGGGAGGTCCGGGTCTGTGGAACTGAGCCGTGAAAGAGGTCATGGGCAAACGATCTAACGGCGAGGGAGAATCAGCAGGGGTTATGACCAGAAGGATGGGAGGTCAAGGGTCAAAGTCTTGTCCAGTGGCCCTCTGCGCTCCAGACAGTGATAAACGGTGTCCTTCATTAGCAGAGTCTTAATGGTGACCCGGTCTGACAGGGACCATCAGGATCAGGGTGGGATGTCAGGAGTGCTGAGTCAGGTCTCGTTCACAGTATTTTTCTATAAACTTTAATCTAAACAGATTTTCCTGTCATGTTTTTGTGATGAAAATACCTCAAAGTCTTTAATGTAACCTCCTGGAAACTTTAGTCTGTTTTTATACTTTGAATTTAATTTGATCACTTTTTCTGGACTGTTGAAAAGACGGTTTGTCTGTCCTGAAAGACGGTTTTTAAAGATATAGTATAACCAGACTTTATTCTCCTGCTGTGAAAAAAATAACAGACAAAATTCTCTAAACCTGCAACTCTGATGATAAGGAGTATAAATTAATGAGTGACTGAAGAGGAATTACAACAGTTTAGGTAATGATATGAAACTAAACTATATTAAAGGATACTTAACGATACAAAATGATATAATAAAATCAATGATATAGGATCTAATATTTAATGAAACAATATAATACAGTACACTACGATATAATACTTTGATATATGATACAATACGATAGTTTACAACACTTTCAATACTTTACAATATATGATACTTAGGAAATGATACGATATAATACTTAACAATACTTTACGGTTTGATACAAAACAATAAGAAATGGCATAATACTTTATTATATGATACAGTAAGATAATAACAATACAATAGTTTACAACACTTTACAGTACTTTACATTATACAATATGATACTTGTAAAATGATAAGATATAATAGTTCATGATACGATACAGTTTGATACAATACAGTATGACATGATATGATACTACACTTAACTATTTGATACTTTACAATTTGATACAAAACAGTAAGAAATGACATGATACAGTAAGATACAATACAATACTGTACTATACTATATGTGATGTGTAGCCATTACCAGCATTAGTATTATAATGCTGACTGAGATACTGTAATGATGGATACTCATAATAAAAAGACAGAGTTCAGGATTGATTCATTAAAAACTCTCATGTAAAAGATTTTTAAGGTTAAACTAAATTGTTCATGTTTGAACTTTCAAACAGACGTGTGTTTTAATCCTCTGTGATCGTGACAGCTACAGTTATATTCACCGTGACTTAGATCCAAGTCCTTCAGAGACTCGAGTGCGTCCTCGACCTTCTCAGCGTTCAGTCAAACCTTCGTCTGTTTAGGTTTTTGAAGTGATGAGTTCGTCTCTTTTCTTCTTTTCATTCCTGTCTGATCTTCTACTGTCCTCTTCTGTTATTATGCAGCTGTCAGCTTTTCATTCAGACGATTCATCTCCATTAAAGTTATCCTCAATCTTCTATTCATGGAGCCATGAAGGCAGATTCACAGAGTTAACTCTTTTATTAGTGAACATAATGGTTTTTAGTTTGAGCATATTGACATCTGTGTCAGGTCAGGAGGTTTTACTCCATCCTGACTCTGATGATCTCTGTTATTAATCTATTTTTTTTATATAATCTGAACACGGAGCAGAGAGGAGTCCTGATTGGCTTTTGGCTTTCAGCGAATCTCTCGCTTTGACTCATGGGTAATTCTGTCCGCTTGTGAATTATTCCTGATCGTTTTTAAACTAAATGACTCGTCGATAAATGAAAAAGTTGTAAACAGAAGAATCAGTGATGACAGAAAAGTGGGCTGCAGTCGTGTTTGGTGGTTTAATAAAGCGGCGTGTGAGTCAGACAAACTCTCATGTGGCTTTTCTCGATGTTTGGTCTCACTTTAGGATCTCAAGTTGTTTCTCGGCGAAACTCTGAAATGGACCAAATTCTGTAAAAATGTCTGTAAAAGATAAAAACTGACTTCATCTGAGAGAAATCTGAAATAATTGGAGAGAAGATGATGTTTGTCAGCAGGTGCTCATAAACTCTGGACTTTTCTTCCATGTTTTTGGCGTTAGTATAGAGAAGAAAGTGTCGGACAGAAGCTCTTGTTTTGTCGAGTTGGTAAAGTGAGAATGACGCAGCAGAGGGAGAGAGAGAGAGAGAGAGAGAGTGACAGGAAAGGGAAAAGAAAAAAGTCAAATGAAGCAGAAACAGACGTCTGCGTGGACGAGCGTGTGGGCGTTTTTATTGGTGTCATGAGGGGAGAAATCAATAAAAGAGGTGAAAAAAGCCTCCTGCTTTAAGAGCCCCATCACCGCCGCAATTAAAGGGGCCTTCAAAGAGCCCGCCTAATCAGCGGTTAAATAAAGATAGGAGCAGGCGGCCGTTTTGAAGGCCCGCTCCTGTAATCTAACACCTCCTGCCCTGCACTCAGTGGCCCCTTGAACTCCATACGAGTGTGTCTGTGTGTGTGTGTGTGTGTGTCTCAGTTTGCTCATACTTGTGTGTTTATGTGTCTTTCCTCCCTTCACACATGTGTTGGCGTACAGAGTGGCCGGACGTGTTTCTGACAGCTTGTATGTGGTTAACAGACTCTTAAAAGGTAGATTAGCCAGTTAGCCAAGCTTCCTCTCAGCGTCCATCTCCGTCACTCACTCATGTGTTTGACCTCTGTCTAAACCGAGCACACACACACACACATGTATGCTCAGCTTATATATGGTAGTTATAGCCATCACAGTCTACCCTCTGTACCTGTGACCCTTCCGCTTACCTGCCGCCTCCTTATCAGACCCGTTTGTCATGTGTGTGGGTTCTCACCGTGATAAGGTTCAGGCCCGGTGAGTCAATACTCCAGCCTTGGGTCTGTCTTCACGAGCCTCTCCCTGCTTAAAGAGGCGCTGTGTAGACACAGCAGATACCAGGCTGAGCAATGAGTTTGCTTTAGGCATACAGAGGCCCAGATAGACAGGTGAGACGGACCTTTAGCACAAAGTGGTTGTCCTGCTGCTGCGGTGTTAAAAGTTTACAGGGCAGCTGCTTTGGTTCACCCTCGGTTCATTGAGTTGTCTTTAAAGACATTCCTCTAATCGGTGCAGGAGAGAGGAGACGGACACTCAGACCGCTCACCTCTGGATGATCTCAGGGGCCGATGTTTTACATCTTTGAACAGATCAGACATTTCTGTGAGAATCAGTGGATTCAGAGCTGGTGCAACAGGCGATACGGAAAACAAGAGAGAGGGTTGGTCAATGATCGATTTATAGATAATACTAATGAATGAGAAACGATCTTAATGAACTCACCTTAATGTTTTATTTTAACACAAGTCAGTCTAACCCCCAATTTCCACCTTCATCCTGAACATGAAATATTGATATGACATGAAAATGCTGTTAATCAGCCCGATTGATTAATTTCTGCTTTTGATTAGAGAATAAAAACATGGAACTAAAAGACACCACACTGAACCAAATGATATGATGTTATGAAACAATACAGTACCCTCTTCTGTTTCACATCAACTCTGTCATAATAGATCAGTGAACACAGTTAAATATCGCTCCTGATATTGATCAGTCATGTTCTGAAATCGACATCATCACCTACTATAATTGTCTCTTTCATAATTTCATTTAAAGATTGTTACCTGCTAAAATAACTGTGTTTTAAAATGAGATTTGATCCTCAAATTTTAATTATTCAAACTTTTTTAAATGAAGGAAAAATCAAAAGTTCTCTTAACAATAATTTACTGAGTCTGACTTTTACATTTAGACCATCAGCCAACCTGATCTCTCATTGTCAGTATCGGCCATGAACCATTAAAAACTGGTATCAGTCGACCCCTACTATAAGATAATATGTGAATGCATAAATATTTTAGATGAACTGTAACAGGATGATACTGTTAGTAGTTTCCGTCTGCTCTGACTCTCCCCTCCACAGAGAACATGTTCAGCAGCAGCAGTAAGAGTGTGGATGAGTAAAATCTGAGGCGGTACTTTAAATTGATGCTTACACCAGTTTAAGGACTCTAATTATACCTGAAGAATGTCGCCCCTATTATTACAGAACATCATGTTCATTCTGACTGAGAGCATCTGCCAATCTTTACTCTCAGGTTTGACTTCGACATCGATGATGATGACTTCATTTAAAACGAATCAAACTAAAAACAGTAAAAAAGTTAAATTTTCAGAATAAACTCAGATCTCTCTCTGAAAACCGTCCTGCTCTCCACACCTGTACTGGTGTCACTCAGATCCTTGTTCCCTGTCATTCCCCCTCTAACCCCTGACACCTCGCCCCCCCCCCCCTCTGGTCCGCCCCCTTCAGTTAAGCCGCATTATCAGCGGCGGTCTCATTAGGACAGCATTAGTGTCAGAGATGGACACAGTGATATGGCTCCACAGCTGGATTAGAGAAGACCTCGAGCCGTTTTTCTCTTTTTTTTATTATCTCCTTCCCGGCCTCTCGCTCTCTCGCTCTCTCGCTCTCTTCATCCTATTGTTTAGGGATGCCTCAGTTCTGACACCAAAGGTCAAGGGTCACTTGTCCACGGGAGCCATCCCTCTCCTTCTCCCAATACACTGTCACTGTGATTCACCACTCACATGGGTCGCTGTCACTCGGCCCCGACACAGCTGTCACTCACGCTCGCACGCATGTGAATATGCAGCGCCGCGCTAGCGGGCGGACGCATACTTTTATCGTGGGCGTCTCCCCACGGGCGTTTGTCTGCTCAGAAAACACAACGCCAGAGCTGAAACACAAAACCTCTGACAACACAAAGACGAGCAGCTTTTGTGAATTTAGTGGAGTCTATAATTTCCTCTGACTGTGTGTAAAATATGCAAATCTGAGCTTCAGATGTAAAGATCAGAGGTGACTGTAGAGATGACTGTCTGACACGTTATCATAGAGGAAGGCTGGTTTAGGACTACTGCGTACTCCTGCATACTGAGTACTGTGTTTGATAGTAGTACACAGTATGACTGTAAGTCAGCTGTTATTCTGTAGTACGGTCGGCCCGGTTTAGCTGATGTTCGTTTATTTACACACTGAAAAAAATATTTTCTGTGTTTTAATTTCATTATTTCTGGATTTTTTAGTCCGATACCATCAAAACATGTTCTGTCTCTGCAATGACTCGTCAATGATCTGGTGTCATTCTGTCCTCATCACGGCGCTGTAAATACAGCAAAGTTCTGTTGTCAGTTATGTTGTCCTTGTTTCCCGCTTAAATGAAAGAAGTTTCAGTCCTCGCTAAACGTATTAACTCATGGCGTCTGCGTGGCGTGGTCTTACTAGCTAAACCCACAGGATCCGGAACGGCTTCGCTCCGCTCCGGACAGGTAGGCAGATCAGATCCACAAGTGTAATCCGCCGCCGCCATCGGAGGAGAACCGCTCGCGGGGGTTACCGTTATTTCTCACGAGACTGGACTAGACTATCAGCCTAAGAACAGTAAAACTTATTGACTTTATTTTATTTTGAAAATTAACCCGATATTTTACTCTGTAACTGCATAAAACTCCCGCTGCTCCTCGTGCTGCACTGAATTGATGCGTCGTGCTCCGGCGTCCGGCAAAAATAGAAACCTTGCGTATCTGATCCGGCCGCCAGAACCAATCCGCAGCAGAGCTGGACGGATTCTGTGGGTTTTGCCGTTATCTCCCTTTGTCCATTTGATAGTTTGACAGTAAAAACCCTCTGGTCCAAACTCCTGTCTCCTGTCAGTCTGACTGTTTTAGCGTTTACTCTCCTTTCTGCATTAAAGCTTTAGACCCCTCTAATGTCAGCTGCCTGGAAACATGGCTGATGGCGTGCGCTGTGAGTGGTCAACATCAGGCGTACCGTACAGAATAAAGGACGAGGAGAAGTGGGAAAATTTGAGTCTGCCCAGGCGCTTTGCATTGTGGGTAACAGTAGGTGAAGCAGACTGGTCCGATGCATTCTGTGGAATTTTCCCGAATCAGCACATCATCCCGGTATTTTTGGCAAACTGCAAATTTCAATTTGTTCACCTACTGAGTACTGGATACTACATTTTGGCCAAACCAGTAAGAACTGCTCGGATAGTAGGAGTCATGATTTATTAGAGGAAGCTGTTGGATTAAATATTCTGAATATGCGTGCTAACCTGAGTGTTGGTTAAGTGAAGACAGATCCGGTCCAAACCGGACTAAAAGGTCAGAGAAAGGCCCGTCTGTTCGTGGCGTTAGCATCCTCTGTCTGAGCGGAGAAGAACCCGGCAGCCTTGGCCCTCTGACCCAGATACAAGCACTTAGGAACCACTGCCCACATTCCCATCAGCAGCAAATGGCTCCGTCTCCTAATCATTAACACACCAATGGACCCTGTTCTCGTGTGTGTGTGTGTGTGTGTGTGTGTGTTTGTGCTTGACACAAAGCTGTGACAGACATAAAAAGCTGAGACCCACTTAGAGGACAGGTTTAAATTTAGCAGCTCCAGATAGACTTGCAGAGACTTCACCTCTCTCTCTCTCTCTCTCTCTCTCTCTCCCTCTCTCTCTCTCTCTCTCTTTCTTACACACACACACACACACTCTCTCTCTTTCTCTGTGAGTGTGTATCTGTGTCTTAAATCCACGTTTGAGTTTTGGTGTTCATCCATAAAAAAACAGACGTTCATTGACCTCTTCTGCACAGTTTTACAACACAACATGAAGTGTTTGATCCTGTGTGTGTGTGTGTGTGTGTGTGTGTGTGTGTGTGTGTGTTGAGAGGACCTGCTCAAACCCAGCTCCCTCTCTCTGTTTATATCCCATAAAAGTCGGAGAGCACAAAAGGAGCTGTCAGGAGTCTCACTCTGTGATTTTTCTCTCCGGGGCCCTTAAGGCCGTTCATTAAAAAAAAGAGAGAGAGAGAGAGAGAGAGAATAAGAGAAAAGGAAAGGAAAAAAAACAACAGAGCAGGTGGAGATGAAAAGGTGGAGAGGGCCTGACTCAACAGTATCGGGTGTTCAGGTGTGTTTACGCAGAGATCAGAGGTGAGAGGATGTTTGTGAGAGGGAGAGCGAGCCGCCGTCACCGCTGCGTGAGGGGCTCTCATGATTGGCTTTCAGCTCTGTCAGGTGACTGGTGTCCTCAGCAGAGACCCTCCTCAGGGTGGGAGGCATCTGATAGGCTGCTGTGGCCCTCAGGTGACAGGTAATGGTCAAAGTTCTGAGCCAGGTGGTGGAGACTCTGATGTGGGGGGAGAAGAGTTCACCGAGTCAGGAGCTGATCTGAAGAGTTTGAACGAGAAATCCTCGTTTTATAAGAACGACAGACGGACGTTCAGACGTCCTCCTGAATCAATCATTTTACTGTCTAATCGATCATGTAATGTGAAAGGATTCAGGCTCTAGAAATGACATTATGAAAACCATCACTCCTGTTCTGATGGTCTCGTTTGTGCCTCATAAATGAGCATCAAAATACATTTTTATATATTTAATAAAAGTTTTAAAGAAACTTTCTACTGTAGCTTTAAAAACGGTGATGATGAGTCATGACCTTGGTTTGACCTCAGGTCTACCTGCACAGCAGATATTTGGGACGCACCTGTTTATGCAGAGTCACTTTTAAAAGTTGTTTTAAGCCACAAACTGAAATATTATTATTTTTCAAACATTTCTCAAATTAACTTCAAAGATCTGAGATTTATAAACGTCTGTGTTTGTCAGAAGACGGTGAGGAGAGTCCTGCAGACACAGTTCAGGATCCACGGTGTCAGACCTCAGTCATGGAGCAGTTCAGCGTTTATTTATGAATTTAGAAGTCAAGAAGTTCATTTGATTAAATTTATTTAATTTCACTTAAAAAAAGAGACACTTAAAAAAACTGTTTTTAAATAGAAAATAAAAGAAATTAAAACATGAGAATGAACTGTTAAAGTTCAGAGATTGATCGTGATTAAAAATTGATTAAAAATGCAGCCCTAATTAAAAAACTAAATCAAAATAAGAAAGTGTAAAAATCTTTGTTCACAGTTTTTCATGAGAGTTTATTTCCTCTGCAGAGAAAGGTCAAAGGTCAGAGCAGGGAGTGGTGGTATTCGTCTGATTATGACCATGAATGAATAACTTCCCGCCGCAGGTGGAGTGTGTGTGTATGTGTGTGTGTGTGTGTGTGTGTGTGTGTGTGTGTGTGTGTGTTATCTGCTCCTGGTGTTTTATCAGGATCAAAAGCCGCCCCGGCAGCAGCTCCAGAGGACACTGTGCTCTGATGGTCCTGGTCCTGGAGCAGCTCATGATGGTCACCTGTCTTTAAAGGGATATTCTGGCGTTAAATTAATTTAGGGTCAAACCCACCATAACTCTGAGTTAGACCCCCCCCCCCCAGAGATGAATGTTACCGACCGCTTGCTTCTCTAGTTATACCAACTTTAGTAACGACCGCAGGATAGAAATACAGAGAGCCACGCCCTCAACCAAAACGCCACTCTATAGCCACAAATAATGCTCAGAACAGCACCTAACTTCATCAACAGGACATATAGGGTCACAGAAATAGTACTAGACACCAAACATCTTTTTAACTTTGACTCATTTCTTTAGCAAAGAGACTAAACACAACTCACCTACTCTCTTCCAGCAGCCGGACTACAGCGGGGTGCCGCAGCTCAAGGAAGAACATTTATGATCATTTCTTCATAGAAATACAATCAGACCGAGACACTAAGACAGAAGAACTACCGCGTCTGTAAAATGATTAATATGATGATTATTACTTCAAGGAAATGATAAAGAAATGATCATAAATGTTCTTCCTTGAGCTGCGGCACCCCACATATATATACATATAACCCTATGCTGAAAAGGGTCCTTTCTTGTATCTAAAGGGGACTTCCATCTGAGGGTGGCCTCTCTGTAGACCAGATCATCCAGAGACAGACTCAGAGCAGGTAGGGATTATCTTAATCCACCTAAATCAACTCTCTGGAGGACAGCCAGACACTGAACATGGAGCTCACCTACAGACACCCCCCCCCCCCCCCCACCTCACTGACAGCTCATACAGGAAAATCTCTGACATGATAATTACACGAGGTGTCTCCTCACTCCTAGAGAAGAGCATAAATCACCTTCATGGCTCCTTCTGCAGATGATCACACCTGCACTCAGCTGAACACGAGCAGAAACACACCCGCCAATTTGGTGATATTGCTCCAATTGAGGATGGAGTGTTTAATGAGCGGATGGGCAGACGAACCCGCGCTCTCCGGGGTGTTTTCATTGGATATGAAATCACGGCTCTTTGAACTGTCAGGAAGCAGATATATGGATTTGGTGCCCAACCCCCTTAATTTTAGTAGAACTCAATGTAGAGCGGGGGGGTTCAGGGGGGTTGATGAGGAGCGGGGGTCTGTCGTTTGATGTGTTCATTCTCTATCCAAAGTAAAATACCCTCCAGCTTTGATGTGCTACCTTTAAAACCCTCCCCCCCCGACTCTTTTAGTTCCCTTTCAGGAAACTCAGAGTGAGCATGCTCGGTTTATGACCAGGTACACCTACAGTACATGAAGGTAATGGTGTGTTAACTGTGTGTGTGTGTGTGTGTGCCAGGATCTCTGTCTTCCAGGCACGGTGCGGCGGGGAGGATTGGAGCGGCTTTGGCGAGATTTAATCTCTCTGGGAGTTGAAGTGAGCGAGAGGAAATACCCTTAACAAGCCGAGTCAGAGCGTGATTAGTGTTCAGTTCTCCCTCCGCTCTCTCGGTTTATGTGTGCGCCTGCTTGTTCCAGTGACTCACATCCCTCCAGTAATGACACATTATCCCTCAACACACACAGTAAGACCCAGCTACTTTACAGCCCTGATCAAACGCCGCCGCCGCCGCAGTCATACGCGTCGTTTCATCATAACTTTGATGACAAATCTCAAACTTTAAACTTCTCTGATAAATCCTTCGCCGATGTCAGGCGTCCGCTTAAACCGAACCCTAAAAGTGTGAAACTTTCATGACCCATCAGTCCATTCAGTTGTTTATGATGAACTCCTAACCTCGCCAGCGCCAGCCGCGCGGCCTTAACGAGGGTTCTGCCAGTCCGGCCCGGCAGTAATATAGTTCCCCCCGACCCTCCCTGGTCGGACACTAACGAGACACCGCACACTGACCTCAGCGGCGGCTCAAATTAGATGTAAATTGTGCCTGATTTTTACGGGGGTCCCTAACGCGATCCAGATCCCCCCGCCATCGCGGCCAGCGGGTCAACGGCGTGAGAACGTCTCGCTCCCTAACGACATTTGGAGTGGTCGATGAGAGGGGTCGCGGGTAATGGTGACCTCACTGGCCTACACTTCACTTCCTTCTAATTAGAGCGCCGGGCCGGATCAAAGGAGCCAACCGCATCGCAGCAGGAGGGCGGCTGAGGAGGAGGGGGGGGCAGTAAAGACGAGGAAGAGGAGGAAGGAGCGAGGGAGCAGGAGAAGGTGGCGTTTCTATAGGTACGGGGGCACAGCGAGTCGGGGGGACCATTTGAGGAGTTTTTTCATTAGTCCTGGAGGTCAGGGGGGCGCTCAACCTGTGTGGACCCTCTTCTATAGGAGAGAGAGAGAGAGAGAGACCCCCATAGAAAGGTAGTGGAGGGGAGAAATAATGGGGGGGGGGGGGCTTTATTATTTCAGAGGCTCTCAGGAGGGGGACACCTCAGCGCGGTCTGCCCCGGGTCCAGAACCAGCTGCAGAGATGGACCCTGAAGTGGAGCACGTCCTCAACCCACATATAAACATATGGACACACACACACACACACAATAACAAGCACCAGATTACATCTGTTACCACGGTTACTAACGAGGGCACAAACAGGCTGGATTAGAATAATGAATTGAAGGTCATAATTGTGAGTCAGAGAGCGTGAAGGTCGGAGACTCCCTGAAATACCTTCAATTTAATGACTTATTTTATCTCACGTTACCATCGAGTGAGAAATTAAAGGTTCTGTGACACTTTATGAAAACAAACGTCTGTGAGGAGTGGAGAGATTTTACATGTTAGCTGATGGTGAAATTAAGAATTTGTGACTTTAGTACAAAATTTACTTGGTTTTTTTCCCTCCTTTTGTTCTTTCTGAGACGCTCTGAGACTCAGTAATTTCGTTGTTACCCCGACTCTCTCGCTGTTATGTTTACGTTACGTTACCTGTGCTACTCGCTATATAAACCATGTGCTTGAACGTTACCTTTCACATTAATGAAAGAGGGTCTGACAGGGTTTGATGCGCTCGTTGATGACTCAAAACAAGTCGAAAATAACGTTGTATGTTGTTGCGAGGAGAAATCATTATTGCCGCATTGATAATGATGCTACTCACTATATCGACCGTGTATCAGCTTGAACGTTACCTTTCACGTTGATGGAAGAGGGTCCGACAGGATTTGTGGCGCATTGATATTAACGGTCGTGAAATTTACGTAATTCATGTATGAATGAATGTAGAGGAAACTCTGAAACCTACAGACCTGTAAACACGCGTCTTTATTAACCTCAGATCAAACCTCTCATCATCAGACTAACAGACCTGGATGATCTGGTTCTGGATCAGTTTTATCTGTCAGTCAAACTTAAACGGGTTTAATCGTTCTGAGCATGCTCCAGCGTTCATACGCCGCGCTCTGAGCAGGAAGCTAAATAACGTGGATGTTTCTAGAAAGCAGGACAGCAAAAGAAGAAAATGGACAGATGAAGAAAGGACGTAAAAAGAGGAAGTTATTATTTTTCTTAAAGAGCAGTAAAGAGAGACATGTTTTTATTGTTTGATGTTCTTCCTTGTTAAGTTTTAAAGACTATTTTTAATTATAACCCGGAGATGACCTGATAGTAACCCGCTCAAACAGACCTGTCTCTCCTCTCACTGTTCCAGGAGTGACTCTGAAACTGTTTTTTAGTTTTTTTTGAGTCCTGGTTCATATTTTCACGACTGATTCCTTCTGCAGTCACCTCTTCCTGTTACAGTAACTTCCTGATTTCGACAGTAATTAGCTGTGATTTAGTTTTGAAGGCTTGTTGTTGAGAACAATGGCTCCTTTCACACTTATGGATCTTGTAAGTGCGAGGACATTCTGTCCTCTGGAGTCGGGTTTCGGGCCCCGGTGCCCTGAAACGCTCTGGGACTGTGATGAATGTGTGGCATGTTAACTTCATTATATTTGCAGTTATTACTCTGGTGGAGCTGTTTCGTCATAATTACTGCGCTCTCTCTCTCTCTCTCTCTCTCTCTCCCAGTATCAGAGTTTAATGACTCGCTCGGAGTCGAGGAGCTGGTTCCTGTAAAACTTGATGATTGTTCTCCGTCTGTGAGGAATGCAGGCCGCTCTAATTCAGCAGAACAAGCTGCAATTTTCCACTGATCCCCTCTAAACTCCCTCAGATCCAGTTGTTTTTCCTCCATCATCTGGATGAAACGGAGGATCTCGCTCTAATGTGGAGCTGACCTCTCCTGCGTGCGCTCGAGATTGGGAATTTCATATTCTGTGGGGATCAGGGAACAGGGAGAATCCGGGCTGGGAAGTTCAGCCCGCTTTGATGGGAGCAGAATTCCAGAAGCTTCCTGTAATCTGGGGATAAGTCTGTGTCATCCTGTCACTCACCTGGATTTATCAGCAGGAAATCTGGAAATGAGACGGCATTCCTGCAGGTGGAGACGAGGCGGACAAACAGAGAGAGAGAGAGAGAGAGAGAGACAGTACGTTTACATGACACTCGAGAAAACCGAATTATCACCTTATTCCGATTAAAGGTCCTTACACACCGGGGAACGATGCAAATGTAGAACGCAAAATTCCGACATATTCAGATGTGAATTTTGATGCGCCTGACTAAACACATCAAGCCTGATGTGATTTTACGACTTTCCGGGGGGGAAAGAGACGCATCCCGGGGGAGACTTTTCCTGGGGAAAGTCCCGCCTCCTTCGCCTCTGATTGGCTAGAAAAGCTGGAAACATCATCACACGCTCAAGCCAAATGGTCAGCACTTACAGCCAATCAGAGGCGATAAGATCAACACATGTAACTATGGTAACAACCGTTAGCTTATGTTAGCACAGATGAAAGTTCAAACAAAGACGTTTATCAAACTGTTAAAGCTCACAAACCATCGTCAGATGAGAAATCCGACGATATGACTCTCCACAAGTTGTCCTTCAGGTCGTTATCTTTGTAATGTTTGTGTCTTTTATCAAAAATCACTCTGTTCTCCGACACGTAAACAATCAGCCGGTCGGCCATGTTGGATATACCAGTGAATCTGACGTCACAACAACACGCAATCTGATTGGTCAGAAGTGGACACACAGTATGAGAAACTTTAGAAAAATCGACTGTGATCCGAAAAAATAAATGTCGCAATATCACAGGACGGGAAAACGTCGCTGATGTGAACGCTTGTATTGACAGGATACGGGTTCGAAAAAAATACTGACATCCAAAATAATCGCACGAAAAAAGCGGTCCTGGTGTGAAAGGAGCTTTAGTCGGACTCCAATTATAGTCAGACAACTCCGATTGGAGTCAAAGAACTCTGATTAAGACACCCAGATAATGTGATTGGAATTCGATTTTCTCTACCATGTAACCAGCGTAGTCGGAGTATGACGCCACGCCTTTGTAACTTTGTAACAAACCCCCAGAGTAGAGGAGTAGCGTTGGTCTCCTCTTTAGAAAAAGTAGCGCGTCCATCATGTCGGACAAAAACAACGCTGTACGATGCTCCATCTTCTTGTTTCTCCAAAATGCCCAGCAGCAGTTGTAGACACTTCTGACGTCTGACACCGACCTGCTGTTGTTGTTGACGGTTGGATGGGGTCGGAAACAGCGCCGCTGAAAAGACCCATATCGCCCCCTAGTGTTGGGGAGGAGGACACGTTCACGTCAATAATTCGATTTTCTCAGCTGCATGTAAACGAGGACGAGGAGAGAAGTCTGATTCAGAGAGAAAGACGAATTATGAGTTTAGTCTGATTAAACTGAGACTGTAAACGAACTGAGTGATCGGAGGCTGCAGAGACGACAGTCTTCACACTTTGTCCAAATAAACAATCATAAATAAATTAATTAATTAATAAATATAAATAGTCTTTAAATATATCATAGGGTGTTCTGATCCGAACTGCAGACTCCTGTTAGAATAAAAAAATCTAAAACGCTCCTCAGGCGACCCTGAGGGTGGACCACTGAACATCTCCAACCCCCTACCACTGATGTTGACATGTTCAGTGACCTAGTCTATCAACACACACACACACACACACACACACTCATAATTGGCGGACCCTCTCTGTGTTAACCGACTCTGATATCATCTGTGTCGTCTGATCTGACCCCTGAATGTTCCTCAGCTGCCCCCCTGGGTCTGTATGTACCCATCAGAGCACGAGACCCCCAGTGGGCTCACTGACCCCGAGATAAGCCCCCGCCCCCCCGGACCCTGAAGGGTTAGAAAGCACTCCTCGCACACACAGGATTGTTCGTCCTGCTGAGCCTCAAACCGCCGATAAAAACAGCAGCTCTGCCAGTTTGTGCGAACAAAACCTTATTTGATGGCGAAGAGAGCGACTTTCACAGAAACGACCTTTTATGGGCGACGCCTCGAGGCCGGGGTTATTTTTGAACGCCTTTTTATAGAAAAACAACTTATTTTAGACGTCAGTTCGTCAAAGTTAGACATAGATCTGGATTCAGTCGATGAAAGTCAGTCTGCAGCTGCTCCTCTGACCTCTGACCTCTGACCTCTGTTATCAGAGAAACTGTAAATATTAAAGTTTGAGTTTGTTTCACACTCAGGTTTATTCTTTTATTAACATCTGTTTAAAAAGAATAATAGACCAGTAAGAGGTCTCATACAGGACATGTGATATCAAGATTATTGATTGATTGGTCATCAGCTGATTATCAGATAAAAACCTATAATCAGATGTTTTTTTTCACAGTCTGCTGGTTAAATTCAGTTTTTGAAGACGTGTGCTTCTCTAACTGTTTTTCAGCCTCTGCTGGGGTCGGTTATCGTTTGGTTTTGAAGGATTTTGGTTCCAAATCCTATCGATTCTCTATTCTGATTCTTTTAAAAGGCAGGATATTTAAAAACGAAGGATGGTTTAACCGTTGTTCTTCTTTTTGGATGAAATTTCTGAACTTCTCCATGAATTTTTAAATTATAAAGGAACTTTACAATGAATTTCTCACAGGACTGTTTTCAACCAGTTTATAAATATCAGTTTTTGTTGTCAGGTCGTTTGTCCGAGGGTTAACGTTAGTTGGATATTTAAGTTGACCCTCTGTACTCGGTACAGTTTGTTTACCGCTTCAAAGTCAGCTGAAGACAGAAGTCATTTATTGTTTCTGATTCTGATTGGTTAGCGGGGGACCGGCGGAGTGCGTCAAAGACGGGCGCTCAGGTGTTTCTCCTCCATGAATCCTGAGGTGTTTAATCATGTTGGTCATTCACTCTCCTCTCTCTCTCTTCTCTCTCTTCTCTCTCTCTTTGTGGCTTGGTCTCATTCACTTCGTCCTTATTGGTGTGATCTGATTCCAGGAGAATCAGAATTTTAGTCCTTGTTCCCATCGATGCTCGAGACTTGATGCCCAACCCTACCCTCTGCTCTGTCCCTCCTCATGTCCCATCTGTGGCACGATCTGATTGGCTCGTGAACACATGACAGTGATGCGACTGTGCTGAAAGTTTGAACTCCTGAATATGTTGAAAGTTTCCCTTTTGATTCAACAAAGTTATTTCTTTGAGTTTTTAATCTCCTAAACTCTAAACTTTGACAGGAAGTTCCTCTTTGTTGTAAATTTGACTCTAAACGGGTCCAAATGTTGGTGATCGGTCTCATGATTGAATAATTATTGGTATCAAATCAGTATGTACCCTCGTCTCTGTGATCAGGCTGTTAACCATTCTCCTTCTCTGTATAATCAGCCTGTAAATCAGTCATCGAGCGGGCTGGTGTAACACCCTCTCATATATAATCCTCTTTATTAACACTCTGATGACTCCCGTTGTCGCCAACACAGAGCTGTCCTCACCAGCTCATCATGGTAACAATTATGGGGGTAATCAATCGTCTCCGATCACAGACCGATAACTGAGGCCTTATTGTACGGAGAGGAAGACGAGCGCCGTCCTCCGAGCGGCTCCGGCTGAAGGCATCATTTTGGGCTTGACCCCTTGCTCTCCTCGCCTCTCTCTCCCGCCCCCTAATACCTTCCTGTCTCCATTATCAGACTGTGGAGGTCAGGCTGTGTAAAGGTCAGGGTTCAAGGGTCACGCTGTCACTCAGGCGGGCACCAAAAATAGGCGTCGTGTGATTTTAACCACGGAAGAGCTGGGAGCTACGCTTGAGCGACACGATGAGTTATGTCTCCACGTCATTAACCTCGGAGCGAACGCCCTCATGACTGCGTTAACTGTATTTTGACTGAACAGCCGCGCGGACGCCGTTTGACCCACATACCGAGTTCATTGTTTTCAACACAGAAGCAGACGAAGTGAAGAAAACAGTTTTTAACAGCGACCACAGGAATCCAGCAGTAAAAACGCTGTAAAAACCGCCGCGGTTGGAGCGCGCCGGCCTCTCTGACGGATCATCCGGGGCGCTAACGCTGCCGTGCAAATCAAAGATGCGTTGCGAGCTCTATGAAGGCGGCGTGAATCCATCAGAGCCGTGTTTCCACAGTCTGCAGGAGCTGAATGCGCCTGCATCGTCAGCCGCATTCCCGAGCCGTGTCTCACCTGACAACCTGCCTGTTTTCTCTCCTCGCCGCTCCGCTCTAAACCTCCGCTCACCCACGCTCAGACGTATGTCACTCTGCAGGTCGCTGCAACACGAGAACACTTCTGAGGACTCCGAGGTGATGGCGCTCATTAACCAACACGCATGTGACAAACGGCGCTCTGAGGTGGACGTGTGTGCAGGCGGCGGAGGTTACCTGGCAGTGAGGAGGGCAGAGTTCAGCTCAGAGGGTCTGAGGTTCTGATCCGTGCAGAGCGAAGACAGAGAGAGAGGACGCTGTCTGTCGTTTGGCACGCCTGCGAGTGTTTTTGTGTGTTTTATGACTCAGTGAACGCACAAATATGTGATGGCGTGTTGCAGCAGAATCTTGGCAGCGAGGTTTATTTGTTCTCAGTTTGCTGATGTTTAGTGTTTGCTGTTGTTGACGGGTCAGGTTTCCTCCTGAGAGAGAGAGAGAGAGAAACATTTTTAGGTTTTTCTGATTAAAAACAGAAAATCTGAATCTGTCTCCGTGAACAAAAACTCAGCTGACATAAATCACACCTGTGCGGGTCGTTCTTCCTCGTCGAGAGGATGTGAGGTGTCGGAGCGGCCCAGATCTGCCGCTATAAAGATTCCTGCCTCCTGACCCGGAAAGGCAGGCCTGTAATAAGACCCATCAAATCATGTGATTGATCGCCCTTCGCCGCTGAGGGGAGAGAATGCAACAGGCTGGATGGGCCGCTGCTTGCCAACGAGGAGGATGGTATGTGGGTGTGTGTGAGAAAAAAGTGAAGATGAGACAGCAAGAGCGAAAGAAGAGAGAGAGAGAGAGAGAGAGGGAGAGAGAGACTGGGGGGCCGAGTTTTCCTTCTTCAAGAGAGAGATGACAGATGGAGAGAAGAGCTGAGAGAGACGAGGAAGAGGAGTGGAGAACCAGACATCAAGAGGAAGAGGAGGTCGAGGAGTGGAAATGAGAGGGATCAGAGACAGAGACCCCATTAACCTGAGAGCAGGTGTCAATCACTCCCAGGAGGAGGAGGAGGGTCGGGGTCTGAGACCGAAACACGGCGAAGTTTTCTCCTCCTGATGACGACGAGTTTCTCAACACTGACAATCGGACTGAGGCGACGCTCACATGACGGACGGACGCCCTCCGAGAACAAAGAGCTGGAGGGAGCGGTTTCACTTAGCATACCTGATGTCATGGTTAAGACCTAACTGCTCCAGTTTTAGAGAGAGAGAGAGAGAGAGAGAGAGAGAGAGAGAGAGAGAGAGAGAGAGAGAGAGAGAGAGAGGGAGAGAGGAAGAGAGAGAGAGGGAGAGAGGGAGAGAGAGAGAGAGAGAGGGAGAGAGAGGCCGCTCTGGTATTCGTGTCCGTTTGAACGAGAAGAACCAGAAGAATGGACCCAAATGTGCGAGCCCCCCCAAAGAGCCGAGAAACTGTGATATGCTGGTGTTATAATCCCCTCTAATCCGATTAGTTTCATGTATAAACTCGGTGCTGCGGGCGATGAGGGACGAGGAGACTCACACACTCTCTCACACACACACACACACACTCACACATGTTTAAAAGACCTCCTCACCACACCTGGAGCGCCAAACTTCAGGGCGTCACACACGACTGAACGGAAGTCTGATCCACGATAAGGATCGGGGGGTCTGTGGGATCAGGGTCCAACCGACACAAGGAGAGGAGAGAGAGGGAGAGAGAGAGAGAGAGAGAGAGAGAGAGAGAGAGGGAGAGAGGGAGACAGGGAGACAGAGAGAGAGAGAGGTTAGAGTGAAACTGGAGGGACGTGTGCGGCTGGTATGCTTGTATTCCTGAGTGGGTGGGTGTTGGGGGTTGGGGGGGGTCTGCGCATGGATGAGGAGAGTGACAGAATGATGATGGGGGCAGATCACAGCCCTGAGCTGTTTTTTTTTTAAGGTGGGAGGGGTTGATTGATTAACGACCTCAGACCCCCCCGGGGGAAACCTGGGTTGAACTTCCTGTACTTTTCTCGAGTGTTTCTCCTCAGACCTGAGAAACTTCCACAAACTCTCCAAACACAACCATGATCGGAGCGGAAATATAAAACAGTACAAGACAGACTGAAACTGTTTTATTGAAAATATGATTCTCAGTGAAATCTGAATTTGTCTCCTACAGGTTAGTAACATATACAGGTTAAAAAAAGAGGGATTTAGGCCCCGTTTATACGTACCAGGTTATTTTAAAAAACTGAGACACTAACCGTCGTTTACACCCTTAGTTTAGACACAAACGGAGAATTCGGCCCTGAAAACGATGCTTTTTAAAAACTCCGTCCAAAGTGGAGATTTTGGAAAACTATGTTTGCAGGTTGATGGAGGAAAACTGAGATTTGGGTAGCCGAAGACAGATTGTGTGCAGGAAAGAAGGAAGTGATGTTGTTGTCGTTGCTGCTATACGGGATTCTGATTGGCTAACATGAGCTTGAGCTTCTCGCTACACTGCCACCTACAGGTTTGGCCTGCTCCTGACGGCATATATACATGAATTAGTGTTAACGAGAACTTTTCTGAACTTTTAGTATCAGGATATTTTGTCTGGTGATATATCATATCATCTCGTTTACCAAGTATCGATTTTTTCAAATTAATCGCTAATAAGAAGTCAAGTCTATAATAATTGAAAAATAAAATCAACAGTTTGTCCAGTAAGGTTGGCAGAGGTGACATTATAGGGCAGGAGAAAGTTAGTACAATATATATATATATATATATATATAAGGTTAGCAAGATGTGCTACATGAAAAATAAAAAACTGTAAAAATAAGACAAACATAAAGGAAAGACAAATGCTTAATCAGCTTAACAGTTGAAAAAAATGTATAAATCACAATATATGGTATCGCAATACTCACTGTATTCCAAATCTCAAAATGGTGGCCCATGGTGGCCCAAGTGTCATGATAATATCATATCCTGATAATATTGTATCGTGACATTGTATCGTGATAATATCACATCGTGATAATATCGTATTGTGGGCCAAGTATCGTGATAATATAATATCCTGTAATAATATTGCATAGTGGACCAAGTATCCTGATAATATTGTATTATGGCCCAAGTCTCGTGATAATATCACATCGTGATAATATCGTATCGTGATATTGTATCGTGATAATATCATATCTTGATAATATCACATCGTGATAGTATCATATCGTGGCCCAAGTATCCTGATAATATCATATGTGGCTCAAGTATCGTGATATTGTATCGCGGGGCCACTAGTGATTCCGACCCCTAATCTGAACCCTCCCTTCACAGAGGAGACCTTACAGACTCTAATAACTGAAAATCATTTTGTGCATCATTGAAGAAAATATGACAGAAAAGTCTGGAGAGTTCAGCAGCTGGAGTCTTAAATGTAAGTAGACTTGGACACTTCACTGTCAGAGCTGCAGGTCCTGGTCCTGTTTAACAATAGAGTTATAATAATCACCAAACCATCAGTTCCTCTTTCTATCAGAGCTTTCCTCAGCGCCCAGATTTTCTGAAAAGGAGGAAAATGGGTTTGTGAGTTTGTGGAAGTCAGGGATTAGTTCATTTAAAAACAAAGTTCATCATCTTCTGCTGAGGCGTGCTGTAAATGACTTGGCAGTGAACCCTCAAACCGCCGTATGTAGAAATCCTCGGGTTTTCATTCACACCCTGGAACCATAACTCATCATGAAGCTGCTCTACCCCGAGGATGCTCAGGCAGCAGAGAGGTGAGCTGTAAAATTTTAACACAAGAGAGAAAAAATCTGCAGGAACAATAGTGTGTTTGTGAACAACATGAGAGAGAGAGAGAGTGGGGGTAAGAAGCTGAGAGAGAAGAAGAAGAAGAAGAAGAAGTTGTTGTTTTTGTTGTTCAGCGAGTGAAGAAGGAGGAGGAATGTTTGAAAAGATATTAGACGGAGCTGCTGGCAGAACATTCTCCGTGTTTTTGGCTGTGAAGAGCTGCTGCTGCCAACGCCAAGCCAGGACCAGCACTGCAACTGAACAGAATGGGCCGCAACACACACACACACACACACACATATATAACACACACACACACACATAACACAAACTCACAAGTTGCCCAAGGGGCTGTTAACAGGCTGCTCAGTGATAGAGGGACGAGGGAATTCAGTCAGTGTGTGAGTTCGGTTTCTCTGCTCTGTGATTGGCTGAGATTATATAACAGTTTTAATAAAGCGGCTCTGAGGTTTCAATCGTTTCAGTTTGATAGTCTCGTCCGTTTAATAAGTCACAAAAACACTCCGATGAACTCTGATTTTTCTCAGAACTGAACGAGACTTGCAGATTTTTGAGATTCCAGAATCAATTAAAACTAAATTAAAACAAACTTCACCGCCGTTTTTACAGGAAAAAACAACATTTGTTGCGCACATGTGACCCTAAATACATTTTACAATTCGCACACGACTATTTTAAGTCGCCAGTGGACACGGGCCCTAAATCAGTTCTGTGTTATTCCTGATCTGCCTCTCTTACACATGCGGACACATTTATCTTGACCTCCAGGACCAGTTTGTCGTTTTGACTTCCTCCAGTATCAGAGTTTGTTTTTCCTTCATTTTCCAGTTTTAACTAAGACTGATGGAAAAAAGGTTAAAGCTGATGAGATGGAGGGCGACACAGATGAATAAAATAATGTGTGTTTATAGTTTATTAATGAGCTCGGAGTCCTGATGGTGGACGGCGCTGGTGATGCATGTTAAACTGGTCGCTCTCTGACGGCACAGGGAGCCTCTGGACCACAGAATGTCCCGACACAGCGTTTTTCATTTTCCATGCATCGCAGAGAGAGAGAGAGAGCACAGAGGCTGACGAGGGCAAACACACACACACACACACACACACACACACACACACACACACACACATAAGCATACGCTCACACAGTGGCACTTGGGCCCTGGAAATCTGCTGACATGTCTGCTTCATCCAGGCGGCGCTCAGTCTGTGGTGCTGCCGGGCGGTTCAGCTGTGACAACGCCGGTAATGACACTCCTCACCCAAGGGTGAGCAGAGGACAGAGCGGCGCTCTCAGGCGGCGGTTTATAAACGCGGGGAGGACAGGAAAACTGAATTAATCACAGCTCTGTCCTCTAAAAGGTACCGTTGTCTGAGGAAAGGCTCGGTTTGAGGCGGGTTCTGAACCCGTGCAGGTTCACGTCCCGGGTCAGTTTGCATATTTTAAGGTTCTGCCGTCTCGTGCGTTTTGAAGCTCTGACATTGGCGAGACGAGATTTTATCGCTGACACATCTTCTGAGTTTGTAGACTGGAAATCAGACATCAGCCTTTTTACTCCGGAGTTGTTTGGGTTGAAGAGGGGAAACTGGGTCAGGCTGACACACCCCGGGGAGGTCGAGGAGGGATGGATGGATGGATGGAGGGGAGGGGGGAGGCACGTGTGTGTGTGTGAGGAAGGGGGTGAATCAAGGTGAAAAGAGAGATGGGCTCAGGAGGATGCTGTCTGTCTAGTCATGCAGGAACACTAAACTCTTGAACCCGACAACCTCGACTTTACACTACCAGCTCTTCTGAGGGAGTCTTTATTTCTGCTCACTGCACATGTTTACTGCTACAGACGACAACGACCCTCATCCACGAGTACATTCACAGATTATTACAGATTATTACAGAGAGAACATTAATCTGAGTATCATCAGAGAATATCATAAATATAACCTGTATAAACCAGGTTTGGGTTTTCAGCAGGATCTCTAACAGGTCTGTAATCTGACCAATCATCATAAGTTTGTGGAGAGCAAAAGCAGGTGGAACAATCTCTGCACTGACACACTGACACTCATCATGAGAGATAATCTACAGCCAGATTAAAAACACACGTCTGCATCTGTGTCTGTGTCTGCACACAAGAGCCGCTAACAAACTGTAAAAACTGATCCCAGCTAGGATTGAAATGATTCCTCGAATACCTCGACTACAAAAAATGATCGAGGAATTGTCGAGAACTCGTTTGTAAACTCAAATCGTCACTGTTCCTCAGAGATTATTTTTAAGGTGACACAACGCGCTTATGTCACCACAGTAGAAGGAGGAGTTAGCGCTGTTTTGGTTTTGCGGAGCGGGAAAAATAAACGATGGGAGGGGCTTCTCTTCTGCAGAGCTCCAGTAGATCATTAGCATTACGCCTCTGAGTCATGGGCAGAGACAGCGCACACACTTGTTTGCGATCGACAACTCCACTTGTTCAAGTCTGGCCTTCATAGCAATGCCCTGGGGGCGGAGCTTGGATTTGTGATGTAGGAAATCTCACTGTGTCTGACCCACAATCTCCACCTTCATCCTGATCGTCTCCTAAAAGGTCGTATCCTCCGATCGTAGCTGATCGTAACCATTCAAGTTAACGTGTCAATTTACACCGACTTCTTTCCGTTCCTCTGCCGATCGCCGGACTCCTCAGCTGATCACAAGAGTTCTATTTTTTCCGGACGCCGGAGCATGGCGGATAAATTCAGCACAGATTCACCCGTGCTGGAAAGGAAGTCGGGCACAGACACAAAATAAAACATCCGGCTTCTTTTCAAAATAAAACACTCCGTGTTTCAGGAGGATCGTATTTCACACCATGCAAACGGGCGGAGACGAACAAGTGAAAGGTTTTTAGACGTCATTTCACCCCGATGACACCATGGATGAGGAGATGCTGATTCTAGAAGTCTAGAAGTAGATTTCCTCCTCTGGAAGGACACAATCTACTGCTTATACATCTATGTGTCTGTCTTTACAGAGACAACTCATTATCGTGTGATTGGACGTGAATCTGCAGGTTCTTGTGAGTTCTCCTGATTACCGCTGTCCGTAATCTGCTCTGAAATTCGCGTCACAGGAATTAGGAATTAGGTAGGAATTGGCAGACGGTGAAAACTGTCCCCGTTCTGGATGCAGTGAAAATTGGGGTTCAGTCTGCTGTTTGGGTCCAATAACTCAATTTATCGCTGGAATATTCGGTAGAATACTCGATTACTAAAATATTGGATAGTTGCAGCTTTAGTTCCAGCTGAGCGTCAGAAAAGATCTGACTCCAGTTTAACAAAGTCATGAGGAACCTGACAAAGTTCGTTTTGTATTTGATGGTTTTTGGACAAACTGAAAATGTTAAATTAGAAGAAAAAGAGGTTTTCTGTATCTGTGAGGAACTAAGGTCTGACAGAGCGCCGACAAACTCAGAGAAGTGAGGCGTTTACACTGAAGATGTGAAAACAGCACAGAGAGAGGGAGAGTCATGACTGCAAAGACGCAGATCTAATCTACTGTATACAAGACCAAACTGAGAGGACGGACTGAAGGGGACATGTCAGGACTCTGTCTGAGTTCATCATCCTGCTCAAGTTTGATCTGCAGCTGTCAACACCGAGAAAACTCAGAAACAGGGACCAGAGAGTTTTTAACCTTGCCCCTGTGTGTGTGTGTGTGTGTGTGTGTGTGTGTGTGTGTGTGTGTGTGTGTGTGTGTGTGTGTGTGTGTGTGTGTGTGTGTGTGTGTGTGCGTGTGTGTGTGTGTGTTTCTGCACACGCCTGACTTCCTCTGACCTGAAGTGACAAAAGTGGCCCAGCTAAGAAAACAAACAGGAAGTGAAGACGAGGTCTGCAGACGGAGGAGGAGATGAAATAGTAATGAGAGGAGATGGGCAGGGCCACGCCA